AGAGAGAGGGAGAGAGGGAGAGAGAGAAGAGAGAAAGGCAGAGACGAGGACAGATGTGCACGCCTCGGGGGGGGTCGGCCCCCGGGCTCGGAATATACGAAATACACAGATTTCGTATCACAAGGTAGCTGGCAGCGAAGCTGCATCATGGCACCCCGGGAGCGTGCAGCGGCAGGGATGCACCACCTGGAGTGCGAAAGCGAAACGTGGTGACGTTAACCCGGCCGAAGCCCGGTGACCAGAGGAGGCCCCCAGAGGCCGACAAGGGTTACAGGCCGGAGGTATCCACAACTTGTATCCCCGTGGGCGCGATTTATTTTCTCCGCCGGCACGGATGGACTGGTACACCCAAAAGCACGGAGATTCGACAGCGGATAGGCCGGTACACCCACCAAAAAAAACATGGATGGATCGGTACACCCAAAGGCACTTATTGGCTTTATCCCATGGGGTGGAATACCCGCAGGGGCATACACCCATAGCCCACGACACACACCACAGAGACACACACACACACACACACACACGCACACAGAGACACACACACACACACACACACACACGCACACACACGACCACGCCCCCCGGGGGCACACGACGAAAAAGACACAGCAAGAAGAGGACGCCTCGAACCTCGGAGCTGCGGCCAAAAGTCCTGACAGGGGCACCTGAAACGGGAAACCTGAAAGAGGAAAGCGGCCTGACCGGGGGACCTGAAGCCGAAGGAAAGCGACAGGGGGGGACGATCCAAGGCGGCCCCTGGACAGCTCTCGGCGAGGGCCGCTGCTCCGGACGTGTAGATTGGACGGCGGCTATGCCCATCCTTGGAGAAAGGCGGGGGGGGGGGAGGAGGAGGGGAGTGGGCCCAGCCACGCACCAGCGCCCCAAGTGGCAGACGGAGGTGGCTGGGAGGGTTTTACAAACCCGTCCTTGGAGAGCTCGGTTAAAGGGCGGGGAGCGGGAACGACAGGCACCGTCAGCCGGCAGGGGATGAATCCCGTTCACGGCCCCATGGAGGAATATGAGGAGTTGGTTTACTGGTGTATTGGTTGATTGGTGCATGAAGGTGGAGGTACGTTTGGACCCCTCCCTGCAGCCGTCTTCGTTGGCCGAGGGGCTGCAGGGAGGTCCTCGGCCCCCTCCATTGGCTATTGACGCCGTAAAGTATGGGCGTATTGGTGCATTGGTGGGAGAGGGCGGCCCCAGCGGCCCCTATGATGGCAGCCGCAGGGGTGTGAGGCCTATGATGGTCCTCCCTGGTGAGGCCTGTGGGGGAAGAGGGCAGAAAGTCGAAGCGGATGTCCGGCAGCAACGTCCAGGACTGAATGGGGGAGAAGGGACGGGGCGGGGAGTGGGAGAAGGGGAGCAGAGGGTAGGGGCAGTGGTCTCGCAGAGCCTGTTTCCGCCTCGTCATCCTCCTCGCCAGTGTTATTGTACACCTCGTCCCTGCTAGCATCCCTCAAGACAAGACGAGACGCGCGTGTCCGCCAGCAGGCGGGCCCCTTAGGAGCGGCGTGGGCAGGCCGGGGCCCGTTCAGATGTGCGCGTGCGCGAGGGAGTGCTTCTCCCAGTTGTTCCACAATGCCCAGTCGTCAGCGAGATCCAACCACGTCGCGGTATTGTCTCCAGTGGTAGATCGTACAAACAGTGATATGTCGTCGTGCCACCCCTTTCGCTGCCTTCCCTGTCTGCGTATCGCTGGTCTGGTGTCGTGGACGTCGGGCTCCCACGCTGCAGCAAGTTTGGTCCATCTTTGGCAGGGTTGCTCTGCGATTCGCCCTGCCCATCGCCATCTGCGCTTGTGGTAAAGGGTCGTCCAGTCGTCTACCTTGAAGCGTTTTGCTAATTCTTCAGCTGCGTGGGTAGCTCTGCGAATGAAATCCGTCCACGGTTCTAGGACGGAGCCGTCTTCGACGACGTCGCGGTGAGGTTGTACTCTGGCGTCGTTGCTACTCGTGCTGTCGCTTGAGCTCGTGCTGCCGTCGCGCTGACCTAGCTCGGAGTTAGTGTCGTTACCCGTGTCGGTGTTGCGTATTGCTGGTGCTCGGCGCTTGGGCGTGTGCACCATGAGTCGCAGCATGCGTCGCTGGGTGCGTAGCATTGTCAAAAGCGTGTCCTTGGTGAGGGTCCAAGAGGTGCAACCATACAACACGCTTGGCGTCACAGTGCCACTGAATAGCCGGAGTCTGCTGTGCAAGGGGTACCGTTTGCGAGTCAGCTCGTCGCGGAGTTGGTGGACCTCCACCATCCCACGGCAATTCTGTTGGAGAGTTCAGCGCAGTGGTAGTCGTGTAGTGTCAGTTTTCGGCCAAGGTATTTCGTGCTCTGCTCGGAGCTGAGGATTTCGACGTTGTCACCGTCGATGTCAGCGTGTGTCGTCGTTCGTCCGTGCTTTCGGCTCGTATTTGTGAGGATGTTGGTTTTGTTTGGGTGTAACTCTAGTCCGCATGCGGAGGCCGCGTGCTTGAGGTCACGTAGTATGCATTTTAGTTGTCCCAAA